TGGCACGATAATTTCTTTAAAAACCACACAAGTTTCTAACTTTTATGTTAGCATATATATATTTTGTGGGTGGGTGGGTGTAGACACACATATACACACACACGGGATGTGAGTGCGTGTTGCTGGGTGTGTGTTTTTTTTTAATGTTTAGGCATATAGCAATTTGGAGTTTAGTTTCTGACTGTATTGTCCCGTCCCCCCCAGCAACAGCAGATAGTAATGTACTTCTGATAGCTTTTCTAAAGAAATGTTGTTTTATGCATGTGGGGGAAAGGAAGCCCAAATAAAGATTTCAGAAGCAGATTGCAAGTGGGGTTGAGTTAGAAAGTGCTGTGTGTTCTAAGTGCCACTGATGTACAATATGGCATTGCAAGTTACTTTCTGAAGGCTTGGGCCACTCCCACTCCCAACGTGATTGGCTTTCTAAATTTCCAAGCTGCGAATCATGACTCAGAGTTTAAGGGCCAATGGCAGAGGCCCAAATCCTGAAATGTTCTGTGATTGGCTATCATGTATCGAATCAGAACACAGGGGCTCAGAATCCTTAGTCCAGACTCAAGCTCAGGCAAACACAGACCACTAAATACATAACAGCTTTCCCCCATTTTCTTTAGGGGTTGTATCCAACTCAGTCATAGTCTCAATGAAATAAAGTGACTTAAACTATTCATGACTCACTTAACTCTATTCCTTTCAGTTAGTCTACAATGAATATAAGTTAGGTGGATTCAACCCTTTGCTTCAAGTGGAAGCCATGTTTATACAGCTAGTGCCTTCCCTCTTTTAGACGCCAATCCCCACTACAAGAGCTGTAGTACATCACATAATACCCTTTTTCTTTTTTAGGATCGGCTGACTATCATAGAAGAGTAAGCTGGCCTTGTTCTCTGACTTCCTGTATGCTATTATGACTCAAACAGCATTAAAACTTGAAAGCCTCATTCTTACCTTAGTCATTTGCGAGAGCAAGAAAGACCTGTCAATTACCTTTTTACTTTGGCAGATGATATAATCATACCTGCTCTGAAAAAAGTCCCAAAGCTGTTTTCACCTCCATTGTATACCATTGCTGTTCTATGTGAATAGCACCCTTATCTTAGGATGAATTACTGTAATGTCTCTGTGTTACTTACATAAATGGCTTGGTGTGCTCTCCCAATTCCACATTCCCAGCAAGTTTGCACTCCTGTCTCAGCGGCATCTATGCTGGCTTGGTCATGTATACAGAATGGAAGATGGCAGGATCCCCAAGGATGTTGTCTATGGGGAGCTGGCCCACTGATGTCTGCAAATGTGACAACGTCCACCCACCATGTAAGAATCCCTTGCAGATGACCTCATTGTCTGGAGACAGACAGGTCATGCATCCATAGCAGTGACCAGAGGAGGAATGACCACTGGGAGGAGCGCAGAGAGAAGAAACGTCATGGTGCATCTTCAGCAGCACAACCGGACACCTTCATCCGCCCCATCTTCAACAAAATACGTCTCTCCCTTATTGGTCTCTACAGCCACAGCAGGCGCTGTAACTCTCCAATGGTTTGACCTTACTCCTGAAGGCACATTCCTGCATTGTCTCCCAAGACAGAGGGATGCCGACAAGTCAGATATAAATATTTATTGCAATATGACAAAGTATAAATATGTAATGTAAAAATAAAAGGGAGGGGGGGCTCTTCCATGCCACTTTTGAAAATTGGCTTGACATGTTGCTAAGCGAAACTTCCGCTTTGAATCAAATAACCTTCTAACACTTCTTGAAGTGTTCCTGCCGCTGAATCCATGGAAATTTAAATCCATGCAAAACTGAGTAAATAACAAAGAGCATGCTGAGTAATTTTAAAATTTAGAGGCTATGGGAGAAGATGAAAGAAACATTATTTTGCTATTACTGTTTGAACAAGAGAATTTTGTGTGCTTCGAGCTATTTACACATTCCCCTACAATGAAAACTTTGTGTTTATATATAACGGAGGGGCTTATCTCTTCAATATACTTCACCCGCCTTCCTGAAGGATTGAAATGGAGAAAGGGTTACAGGTTATTCAAATGACAGAGCTCAGGAAACAATAGATAAGAGAACGAAGACACAACTGTTTTAGCCCTTCATGAGGTTTCCAGTAGCACAGTTTGTTTTCCACTATCCTCCCCACCCCCTCTTTCCACTCTGACTGCCTCTCCTTAATATCTGCGCAGGAAAAAAAGAAGTGGCGCGTCTTGCTCGTGGTGATAAAAACTCTGCTGTGGCTTTTCTACGCAGGGAATCAGTAGGAAGTATTCGTTCTTTCGAAAGCAGGAGCAAGCTTGGTGGCTTTTGCTTTTTTTATTATTATTAAAGCCCAATCGACAGGAGCTAAAATGCTACAGGGGGAAATCATCATCATTAACATTTCATCTTAACCTTTACTTACCTGTTCCTGCCATTATTTTTTTAACAGCCATTTTCACACACCCTTCACTTTATTAACTTTTTGATTTGGAGAGTCAGTAGAAATTACAGGATGAAAATGTATCATTATTCATGCCGCAGAACTTTTCTGACAAAGCTAACAGAAGCGGGCTTCCTCTTCTGTGCTTTTGTTCTGTGTGAATAAGATGGAATTGAGGTCATTGTTGTCTCTACCCCTCGAATACTCTCCTCCCCCCCCCCCAGTGGGTTTCAAAATACTAAAATAAAGCCACAAATCACGGTTAGCCCCAAGGAACCATAAAACAAACACATACATATATAAAAATGGCTAACAATAGAAGGAATTTATGTTGTCATAAAATATAACTTATGTTACTGAAATGTCATGGAGCCAACAATGGAGAAAAGCTTTCAAAGCCCCATGTCCGCAGGCAAGAATACCGCTAGACACCTGCATGAAGGTGGCGAAGCAATCATATTATCTTGAATGGTTAAAGCTCCTGAGCAAAGTTCAGAGATGAATGCTGATTTTTATGTGGCCAAAAGGGCAGCATCGATGCCAGGAAGCATCGGGCCTAGCGGAGTCCCAAGGTTTGCAGAAATACAAAGCATCTGTAGAGGAGGACCTTTTCGGATTGAGCATGCTCAGTGGCCACAGAATGCTGACAGATTGTTGGAGAGGGAAATGGAAAACTGGACAATTGGAGCAAATGGAATGGAGTGTCGTGGAGGAAAGGATTGCTGACTGACTGGCAAGAGGAAAACAGGAGCACTTCACACTGCAACGTTTTGTTGTTGTTCCCATTTGCTCCACTCTATTTCCTACTAGGGACACGGGTGGCGCTGTGGTCTAAACCACAGATCAGAAGGTCGGCGGTTCGAATGGGGTGAGCTCCCTTTGCTCAGTCCCTGCTCCTGCCAACCTAGCAGTTCAAAAGCACTTAAACGTGCAAGTAGATAAATAGGTACCACTCCGGCGGGAAGGTAAACGGCGTTTCCGGGCGCTGCTCTGGTTCACCAGAAGCGGCTTAGTCATGCTGGCCACATGACCCGGAAGCTGTACGCCGGCTTCCTCGGCCAGTAAAGCGAGATGAGCGCCGCAACCCCAGAGTCGGCCACGACTGGACCTAACGGTCAGGGGTCCCTTTACCTTTACCTTTATTTCCTACTAATCAATGGTCTGATTTAGGCATCGCAGCCAATTTTAACGACATCAATAATACTTTAAAAAATACTTGGCAGTTCTTTGAATCATAGAATCGTAGAACTGCAAGGGACATTGAGGGTCATGTAGTCCAAGCCCCTAGGATGGAAGCATCTCAACTAAATCAACCTCTGCTTACAAACCTCCAAGGAAGGAGAATCTATCACCTCTTGTGGGAGTCTCTTCCACTGTCTAACTGCTTTTATTGTCAGAAAGTTCTTCCAGGTGCTTAGCTGCAATCTCCTTTCTATAGCAAAGTTATTTGTTAGGTACTAAGCAAGCAATCTGAATTGTGGGTTAAACCACAGAGCCTAGGACTTGCTGATCAGAAGGTCGGTGGTTCAAATCCCCGCGACGGGGTGAGCTCCCATTGCTCAGTCCCTGCTCCTGGCAACCTAGCAGTTCGAAAGCACGTCAAAGTGCAAGTAGATAAATAGGTATGATCTGGTGGGAAGGTAAATTGCGTTTCCGGGCGCTGCTCTGGTTCGCCAGAAGTGGCTTAGTCATGCTGGTCACATGACCTGGAAGCTGTACGCCGGCTCCCTTGGCCAATAAAGCGAGATGAGTGCCACAACCCCAGAGTCGGTTCCGACTGGCCCTAATGTTCAGGGGTCCCTTTACCTTTTAAGCAAGCAATCTGAATAAAAAGCATTGCTAAAAACAGTAACCTGAGGGAAATGGGGGGGGGGGGGGAGAGAGAAAAAGTCACCTATTACAACATAGAACCAGAGAACTAGGAGGTCTTCCAAGTGTCACCTTTAAAAACCTGGCAAGAGATAACAATGGAAAGTGACAATTGCTATGCAGAGAAACTCCCATTAACCTGAATGGCCTGGGGGGACATCTAGAGCATTTGGATAATTAGGTCACTTTAAATAGAAAGGACTACTAGAAGAGGCTGACTATGTTCACACAAACAGTGTGAAAACAAACAAGCATGTAATTAGATAAACCTAGTTGAAGCGATCTTGAAAGGCTCGGAAATGATGTGCTGGGAACTTTTCTAAAAATGGATGCTCAGCGAAGGCTGCATTCCCAGTCATACTTACTTGAAAGAAAGGGCTTGTGCTCAGGTGAGGTTTGACAAAAAATAAAAAATAAAATAAAATAAAATAAAATAAAATGCTGTGCTGTGCTGTGCTGTTGCTTAAGAAAAGCATTTTTTAAAAAGGAAATACTGTCCAAAAAACAAAACACCTTTCCTTGTGACTGATTTTACTTAATGCATTTCTAATCTATCATTTATCATAACGTCCCGAGGCAGGTTACTAAGAGACTTAAAATCCAATGACGCTTAACTCAAAGGTAATTTAAGTACATGACTAGGCATAGGACAGGTGCCTCTGTGATGTGGGAAGACACAAATGCAGGCCACTTATAGACAGATTGCCAGAGTGTACAGTTTTAATTTTCCTAAAACAAAATTTCTTGGCTGATAATGACTGGCGTGTTTGCTGTTCTTCACGCCCGCTGTTGAAACATTTCCAGGCCTCTTTCACTGCACCTGTTGTGAAGAGAATTGGCTTCAGTCCAATGACTCAGACTGTACGGGAGATTATAGGTACACACATATATGCAGGTAATAGTAACAACAAAGGTAACAGATTGACTGTGTATAACATTTTCATACTGCAGCTGACAGGTTTGTGTGTGAGCAGAAGGAAGTTGTGTCCTTTCCATGGATATCAGGCAGACATGTTTAAAATGCAGCAAAGGACACAGGAAAGTAGGGTGCAAGGCAGGGTTGATCCAAGATGGCACTGCCTTCCCTGCCAAGAGTGAAGATCTATATCATGGAAAAAGAGGGGATCTTGCCACCCGAGGCAGTTGCTTCGCTTTGCCTCATGGGTGGGCCGGCCCTGATGGAAGATATGAACAAGGCTGCATTTGCCCTGTGGTACAGTTTTGCAGGTTAAAATAAATTGCACATGCCGTGCATGGATAAATAAAGTTTGCCTAGCTGATTATAAATGAAATATTGGATTTTCTTGGGACAATTTTTCTGGTGGAGGAAAATAAACGAAAGGGGTTCTGGAGAAGTGGGACAGCATGAAGTCATGAATTAAGCTCCTCTAGAAGGGATAGGGGACCACGCAAAACAAATGCGCTCTTTATTCCTGCGCAGTGGAAGCCTCTTCCAAAGTCCCTGTTCTGACCTTTCCGAGGAAACTGTTTGACATTTATGATTTATTTCTGCAACCATGTGGACTAGAAGAGTATTCTTTCTTTAAAGAGGGAAGGAAGAGATCCTTGCGATGCCAAATTCTTTTCCCATACCAGGTTCAAGATACCCCATCTTTGGTTCTGAATATCAACCTCTCACAAGACTGGAAATGAATAAATACATTGTTTTCTTTATTTTACATTGGTCCCACAGGCGTTTTGGGGAGGGGAATTTGGTAGCTTGTACTAACATTGGCACAATGCACAGCAGAGCAGAGCAGAGCAGAGCAGCGATTGCCCACAGCTTGTACTTTTTGTACTCTTTCTAAGACAAATGGGCAGTGATTTTCCTTGGAATACTCCGTTTGCAGATTTGCTGCAGTGATTCTTACATGCCCTCAATACAAAGAGAAGAATGGGGGGTATTATAAAGAGAGAGAATGAAGGCAATCAGTGAAAGCATGAATTATGTTGCACAAGAGCACCACAAGTTTCACCAATTGCTAGTGAAACATATTTCTTTACACAAAGTAAAGCGACAGGGCACACAGCGCTGTGTAATTTAAAAGTTTGGTCTAGACACAATTGGCACACATAGCTTAACTATTCACAACCTAAACACCCTGATGCACAGTGATTATCTACTTACTGTTAAATTCAAGACAACCACACCTACTTAACTTTGCATGGAGTATACTTGATTTGAACAAGTTCCAGGAGAAATTGGATTGCTAGTAGTTCAAACTGTTCTATTATACTGGTGCATTTTCAGACACAAGCCCTATTGGACTAAACAGACAGAAGACAGTGGTCCATTGTCCTACGGCCAGTGAGAGTCCAAACAGAGGCATAAATAAAAACAGCATTTCCAAATTGTTTCTTCACGTTTGTTTCAGGACTTAGGCTGACTACACATATCACTTGCAGTATCCAAACAGCGTATTGGGCATCTATCCAAAACAGAGGTTCCCAAATTTATTTGGCCCACTGCCCCCTTTTCAGAAAAGAAAATTGCTCAGAGGCCCCCTGGAAACCATTGATCAGTTATATCTGGCATTTTGTGTGTTATTTGAAAAATAAAGTAACCACGATGACTTTAACTCTATGTTACATCAGTAAGCATAAACAACAGATGAAACATGTATGAACGGTTTTTCAAAAGTCTCTTCTTTCTTTATGCTTCCACCAACCTGCCCTCAACCCCTCCAATTACACCTGAGTCTACTACTGCCCCCCTGGATCGTTCCAGTGCCCCCCCCCCCCCCGGCGGTATCACCCACTTTGGAAAACACTGGTCTAAAAGAAATAGGGAAAATATAGCTACCTGGATGATGTTTGAATGATTCTTGAGAAAAGCTGGGAAGGTTGGTCTCTCAGAGAGCTGTGAAGTTAAGGGTTAATAAAATGCCTAAAATGTTTAAGTTTGACCTTTTGCTGCACTCATAGTCACCAATATTTCTTCAACCCTCTCTTTCTCTTCCTTTCTTCCTAACAATGTAATCCTGGGCTGGATGTAGACACATCAGTTAAACGCGTTGTAAACTTCATAAAGGGAAAGCCCATTGGCAAAAGGCAGGACTCCACAGCACCATCTGGTGTCACAGTGTTATAATGCATATAAAGCATTTTTTTTCTCTACCAATGTAGCTGAGTGTCTAAACACAGGAAGGTGATGCAAGTTACACCAGCTTAAGTTAAGCCAACGTGAAGTAGGTCCATTCAGGAAGCTCTGGGAAGGGCAAATGGTGAAGGGAAGGTTCAGGGTGGCAGGAGAGGTTATATTGTTTATTAATATCCTTCCTAACTTGTGCTAGCAAGTTCCTTTTCTTAGCAGAGTTACATTCCCCTTTTTACATGCACAGCAGATAGCTGGTTGCAGGTTCGTGTGAGCTTCTCATTATTATACAAGTCAGTCTGTCTCAGATTGAATTGTACGTTCCTGGTAAGTTCCCTTGAATCCCTCTTAAAAGAATAAAGACACCACAATCAGATTCAAAATCAGTAAAAGAAGTTCAATCACAGTTGGATTCCTGAAGGTATACTTAGTTACAAATACGTACATGTGGATCTACCCCATGTGGGGGAATAATCCCAGTGCTTCTGCTAGCTGAGAGCTAGCAGAGCAGTCCTAGTTAAAAGCTGGTCAAACGAAGAAGGAAGTCAAAAAGAAGGAAGGGTGCTGCGTTACCTGGACAGGTTAGGTCATACCCACCTTCTATCACATGCAAAAGGAACGATGCTCCAGCCAGGAGGAACAGGAAGTTTCGACTGGCTGGACCAAACATTCCCTCGCATGTCCCCTCTAGCATTACAAAGAATGTTGAACTTGACTGCCTCTCATGGATCACATCCCACAAATGGAAGACAAGCCCTCAAACCACAGAACCATCTCAGCCAGCATCCCTACCTGTTGGCACCAGGTGTGTACAAACTGCAAGGTTGCACAGAGATAGCTCGCGAGAAGCAACTCGGAAATGCCGGTCCAGGGATGCAAACAAACAGGGGACAGAGCACAGATGGCATCCCAAGCAGGGCTCAGCATGGCAATCCAACCAGCACACATTGAACATCACATTCCCACATGCTCCACCAACCACACAGCCACAAACAAGGCACGCGGAACACTATAGCTCACCTTGTGCCACACACCACACCCACACTGTGCAACTTGCAAGCATGTCAGACATACACAGGGGCTGCTCCTGTCACCTCCAAATAAAACCATGCAGCACAGATGTCCAGGGTTGTAAAGACTGCAGAGAGAATAATTGGGTGCACTCTTCCCACTTTGGATCAAATCTATGCTTCCAGGTGTCATAAGAAAACTGCAGAGATAGTGCTCACCCTGGAAATGATCTCTTTCAGCTTCTGCCTTCTGGAAGAAGGTACAGGGTTATAAAGACTAGGACTAGCCGCCTGAGAAACAGTTCTTATCCGAATGTGATTTTGGTTTTAAACGCAGTGTAAGGTAGTCTCTGTGGGAGTATATTGTATTTCATTATGGGGTATCAGAGTTTTTAGGGGGTTAACCAAGCTGGGATAGCTGGGATAGCAGGTTTGTTGGTTTTTGAATGTCTGATGTAGATTTTTTCAGTTTCGTTGTTCTGTATGAGACAATGACAATAAAGATTATTGTATTGTATTGGGTAGATGCAAAAGGACTGCTCCTGGGGGTTTCTGGGAGCTGTGGTCCACAGACAGTGGCGAGAGCTACTGCAGGCTGACCTCCAGGGGTGTAAATATGGGCTCCACGGCTGCTGTCACCCCTGAATAAATGAGAGCTAGAGCTGACAGTTGTGAAAGTTTGGTCTTTTATTGAGCACACTTTGAAATGAGGCTCCCCTCTGGTTAAGGGGTGGTTGAAAGGTCTCAGTCACAGGGTGGCCTCTCTGCATTAGGGGGATCCATGGTGGCCATAGAAATTTGTTGTGTTGTGGCCAGGGAACAAAAGAGGGGGTGACATGTTAGTACCACAGAACTGTCAACAGAGCTGCTTGTTTGTCTTAAATGTTCCACTGCAAACTTCAGTGCTTTTGAAACTGGTGACCACAAAAACACATCTTGGCCAAACTCATGCTTCAACATCCACAATTATTTTAGTTTGCAGGCATCAGATTGTAGACAGGGACTAATAAGACAGCTGAATGTGTTCCTGTTTGCCCCTTCCCCTTGACACTCATAATATACTATGTACAGTGGCATTTTAAAATGCTTACGGTACATTCCTATGCAGGTATTTACTTGGGCATGAGTGCTGTTAGTTTCATTGAGGCTTAACTTCTGAGTATACATGCAGAAGATTCACTGTTAACATAAACTGATTTTTCACATGTGAGAATCTGAAAATAGCATGGATGTATATAGATGATACATCTTGCTTTTCTGAAGGGGTGAGACAACCTGCTTTCCTGCTGTCAAAACACAATGAAGATATTTTTTTATTACAGCCTCTCAAGAATCTACATTGACAGCCAAGACTAGAACGTTTCCTTAACAAATACTGGAATGAAGGCGTCTATGTGCCTCTTTTTTATTTTCAGTTTGCTATTGTTCAAAAGTGTGATCTAGACAAGAGGGCCCATATTTTATCCAAGCCCATCACAATACAGCAACAACAAGGCACTTCAATTACTGCCGCAACAAGCTACCAATCCAACTTTATCAATCCAATTTTTCATCCTCTTTCTCTGACTCGACATTTGTTCTATATGTCAGAGTAATCTCATCAACCTCAGCCCACTTTAGGGTAATCAATCTCAGTTACGATATTCAAACGTAATGAAAAGAGAAAGCTCCCAACACAAAGAGCTAATAGCTACAGTCACGATTCTGGGACATACAGTCACTGCTTTTGCCATCCGCACTGTGCCAGTTCATCAAGCTTAGCCGACCTGGAGATGCGTGTAATCCCACAGAATACTCAGTATCAGCTCTAGCCCACATCAAGAGAACAAGGATGAAAATGCTTGGTGGAGCATCTTTGAAGGTGTCCCCTATTTTTATTGAAAGGTAAGCAAGGGTGGCTTTTTCGAGTGCAGTGCTTGGATGCCTTTGGCTACAATCCTGTCTTGCCCTTAAATATCCCAGGTGATCATGGGACGCCACTGAACCTTAGGGCGGAACGAAGCGTTACAACATTTTAGATCATTGTTTCCTTCCTAGAAGTGACATTAATGTAAAATGTAAGTGGCTCTCAGAGAACCACCTCAGGGCAGTACATAAAAACACAGGAGTTTTAAGTGTTGCTAAGGTGAAGCCATCACCATTCGCTGCTAATTGCTGAGAGCTGTACCGCCTTTGGCTTCCTGGTAGCCCTGCGGTATTAGCAAAGTCAACAAAAGGGATGCGTCAAGGTGGAGGACATTGAACGGGGCCCCAGGCACATCCCACTGAACCAATTTATGCGGGTCACCTGGGGGAAGCAAGGGCTGGTAGGCAGTGAAGTGGAGGAGGGGATCTGAGCTGCATGTAGAATCTGCATGCAGGTAGGATCTGCAGGGGTGAAGAGTGGGGAGCAGAGCAGTCTCATGCCTGGCCTCTCATCAGGCATTGGGGAGACTGGCATAGTGGATCCAATCTGCATATTAATCCCGGGGGAAAGAGCTGGTCATCAGCCTCTTACAGCAGCTGCCGTCATCAATGGTGGCACGAGTCCCCTCCAAGCTCATCCCCTCACCCAGAAGAGATTCTGGGTGGCTGGGTGAGGGGGCCTATCACTGGCTAAGCTGTTGTGGGAATTAGACTTAATTCCCATTTGCAAAGCCCTGGGTCATTTGACCCTTTAGTTCAGGCATAGGCAAACTCGGCCCTCCAGATGTTTTGGGACCACAATTCCCATCATCCCTGACCACTGGTCCTGTTAGCTAAGGATCGTGGGAGTTGTAGTCCCAAAACATCTGGAGGGCCAAGTTTGCCTATGCCTGCTTTAGTTCTCTTTTCCTTCCTATAAAAACACTGCTAGAAACTGTCGTTTCAAGAACATACAGCTTTTCCTTAGGCTGGATCTAGACACATCCAAGAAGTGCTTCAGAAAAATGCGTTGTAACCTTTATAATGAGAACTCGTGTTGGCAAAAATGCAACTCCACAGCGCCATCTGATGCCACAGTGTTATATCACATATAAAACACACATAAAATGCTTTTTCCTTTACTAGTCTGAGTCCTTAGTGTACTTGCAGGTGGCACTGTGGTCTAAACCACTGAGCCTCTTGGGCTTGCCGATTGGAAGGTTGGCAGTTCAAATCCCCATGATGGGGTGAGCTCCCGTTGCTTGGTCCCTGCTCCTGCCAACCTAGCAGTTTGAAAGCACGCCAGTGCAAGTAAATAGGTACCGCTGTGGCGGGAAGGTATACAGTGTTTCCGTGTGCTCTGGCACTCGTCATGGTCCTCCATGCACCAGTAGCTGTTTAGTCCTGCTGGCCACATGACCTTGAAAACTGTCTGTGGACAAACGCCGGCTCCCTTGGCCTGAAAAGTGAGATGAGCGCTGCAACCTCATAGTCTCCTTTGACTGGATGTAGCCATCCAGGGGTCCTTTATCTTTTTTCTTTTTTTTTTTTACCTGTTTGCAGTTGCAGATTAAATATACAATGTAGGTAGATGTTTCTTAAGTTGCCAATACGTTTTACATAGATGAGGTAAAGGTAAATGTATAGGTAAATGACCCCTGGACAGTTAAGTCCAGTCAAAGGTGACTATGGGGTTGCGGAGCTCATCCCGTTTTCAGGCCGAGGGAGTCAGTGTTCGTCCACAGGCAGTTCTCCGGGTTATGTGGCCAGCATGACTAAATCGCTTCTGGCACACGGAGGACCGTGACGAGTGCCATGAAACTGTTACAGACTAAATAACATTTACAGACTGACAGATACTCTGACTCTGACGCAGACAGCCGCACAAGACAACAGACCTGCTGCTCCAACAGTTAAGACTCACAAGACTGTTAATAACTGAACCAACTGAAATAACAGCCGCAGAATGTATGACATTACAGGATTCTACAGCCCTTTCAAATGTTAACCCTTTACTTATGCATTTTGGATGCTAACATCCCACAGCTCTGCCCCAGCATATGGTCTCTACAGTTATGTCATTGTAGCATATTCTTAAATAAGTCATATGCCCAAAGACTTAGTCAGAGAAAAATTAAGTAAAAACATAAATCTTTTTTTCCCTTTGTTAATTAGGGATGTTTCTGTTTACGGATTACGTCAACGATCCTTACAGACCGATAAAAAATAATGCAGTTTAATATATATATATGTTTATATGCATATTAATGGAGAGAATCTACGTTATGTCCTCTCCCTGCCTTGTCTCAAAGGCATCATCTTGCCTTGGTTAGCTGACAGTGGCTGACTGTCTAGGGCAGGCTATGTTTGCAGGACAAGTCGTCACTTTCTAGTCACATGGACAAGAGAACATCCGGGTCTTTTGAGTCTCAGGAAAAGGAGAGAAGTAGACAAACTCTTCACTCATCCTAATGCAATCAGGACAACAGATTGCCAGTCATTAATTGAGAGCTGTGAGTGTCATCTTCCAACAGGCTAATGAAACACATCCACCCAATGTCAACTATTCTCTATTATAGACTTTCTCCAGTGCCAAATTTACGTATAAGCTAAACAAGCTATAGCTTAGGGCCTCACTCTCTTGGGGGCTCCCAAAAAATTGAAGGGGAAAAAAACTATACATTTCTAAAATATAAAGTAAAAAACAAATAAAATAAAACCTACATACAGCAACAGTGTTTTGTGTTGTGTAGGCTCCTATTTGATATGTGCACATGGCTTTAGATACCTATTAGGTCCATAAATTACTAAATAGCATATATTCAACACAAAAAACAGCGACAATTTGTTGTTGACAAAGGACAGCTGGACATATAAAGGGCCCCATTACCTTCAGTAACTTAGGGCCTCCTCAAACCTAAATCCAGCCCTGACCTTCTCTGTAATACGCAGAGAAGGTCACCTGTCCTCTTTGTTCACCCAGAAATTCCCATTCAGTTGCCAGACTGATTTTGTTTTCTAGGACTTTAAATGGAAATCTGATATTTCTGCTTTTGCACCCTGTCTTTGCCCAGTCCTGCCCAGTAAAGTTTCTCAACGGTCTCAGAATTTCAGTTTCACCCATGAGTTTCGATTATATCCTGGCATTGAGAATCTCTTCTGCTGCTCTCTTTGAAATGCTTCTCGTCAGACTATGATCAGTATCCACCTTCGCTTTTTCACTTTCTTCTCTCCCTCTTGATCAGATCTCGCCTTCCTCTTCTTCTGGGACAGCCTTCGACAACAGACTTGAAATCTACCTTTTATTTTACTTTTATCAATAAAATCCTTTTCTCTGAAAAGCTCTCATCTCGCCTCTTTCCTCTTGGTATGTTGAGTGCTCCCCACTACTAAGACTCCTACACCAAAGCTGACCCATGCTTTGTTGCTGCTTATTTGGACAAACTTGCTCGTTTCTGTGCCATCTCTATGAGATTGACAGGATCCTGTCCTCTGGCAGAACAGAGTGATGGGTATAGCAATTACCCTGCAGTCCTTTGTATTCTGGAAGGATATACTCACTGAACATCAAAGCAGGTTTCAGACACATATAGAGCTATATGTTGTCTACGCTCTGGGAACCTCTAGGTTAGATTATTATGATGTGTTATACATTCAGACGTCAGCTGCTGCAGAATTTGGCGGACAGGATGCTCATTGGGGTAAGACGTTTTCAGCATATAACGTCAATCTTGACTCAGCTGCACTGGCTGTCAATTGGTTTCAGGGTCCAATTCAAAATGCTGGTTTTGATCTATAAAGCCTTAAATAGCTCAGGACTGCAATACCTCAAAAACCACCTCTCCGCATATAAACTGACCCAGACTCTGCAATCATCATCTGAGGCCGTTCTTTATGTGCCTCTTCTGCAAGAGGTCCGAAGGGTGACAATGTAAGAACAGGCCTTTTCTGCAGTGGCTCCCCATTTGTGGAATGCTCTCCCCAGAGAGGCTCACCTGGCGCCTTCATTAAATATATTTAGGTGCCAGGCAAAAACATTCCTCTTCAACCAGGCCTTGGGCTGATTAACAATCTGTGTCCTGTTTGTGGGAGCAGGGAGAGTTCTTGGGTTTGTTTTGTTTTGTTTCTTGACTTTATTATGCACTTTGTGGTTTTATTCTCTACTTGATGCCGCGAACCACCCTGAGATCTTCGGACAAAGGGTGGTATATGATGTAGTGGTTCTAGGGGTTGCTCGTGTGTAAGCCGGTGCAAACACCTGGCTGGATTGCCTGAGTGAACCTTTTCTGTCCGGACAGCCACTCACCCATGGCTGTCTCAATCGCTGGCAGAATCCGTCAGTGGGCGTTTCTTAAACTTCTTCCAGCAAAGAAGCTCTTTGATGCCTAGTCTCCTCCTACTTTCTCTGCGCGAAAGCCTTCTGCGCAAGGAGGGCGTAGGCAGCGGAGGACCTCTACTCTCCCCGCTGGTCCCCGGCAAGGAGTCATGGGACCGCCTCGCCGCTTCCCCCATCTGCCCCCCTTCTCCACTGGTGCTACGCTGATTCTCTTCCCCAGAAGAGGGGCTGCCTCTCCTAATCCCGGGACGCTCTCTGGAATCCCTTTGGATTTTGCTCTCTCCCTCCGGCACTGATGGCAGTTCCCTGACATATGATTTTGATAAATAAAGAAATAAAGAAATAAAATACATCCTGAACAAATACGGTAACACTCAACTTTCCACTTGCTAAGCAGATCCTTTCCATACACCTAAGTTCTTATTTACATCTGTTCCTCTGGGGCCAATCATTCCGGCAGTGGGAGAGCTGGGAAGCAGAGCTCACTCCATTGTCTCTGCTGTGACAGACCAGCTCCATCAGGCCTCCTTTCCCTCAGCTGTCACCTCCGGGGCAGCCATCCCATCAGACTGCCTCAGTGGCAGAGATGGAAAGCAGGGCTTATATCGCCAGCCTTGCTGAAGGCCCAGCTCCATCAACAAACACACGAGATGTAACCGGCTGTGTTCTTAGATAAATGAGGTATGCTATTCATTGTATCCAATTGTAAATTTCAACAGAAGTAACTCATAAAGTTCAACAAACGAACAAAGCAGAAGACCCAGTGGATCACATCATTCTCTAGTCAGTTCATGCATAAGGTCCATCCGTGTAAAGGTGTCTATTCCACCTGTCTGTTCATAAAGTCCAAACAATCCACATGAAAAGTTGTTACAGTTCCACAAAATCCTTTCACAGAGTCTAGACAAGGATTTCCAGAATATTGGCCTTGTTTCGCCGTCCTGGGCTTCATCAGTAGTTAAAGCACTAAGTAATGCAAATAAATACAATATCATGATCTCACACATTTTACAGCAAAAATATCAAACAATAAATAACTGTACAGTGGTACCTCAGGTTAAGTACTTATTCGTTCCGAAGGTCGGTACTTAACCTGAAACTGTTTTTAACCTGAAGCACCACTTTAGCTAATGGGGCCTCCTGCTGCCGCCGCGCCACTGGAGCACGATTTCTGTTCTCATCCTGAAGCAAAGTTCTTAACCTGAAGCACTATTTCTCGGTTAGCGGAGTCTGTAACCTGAAGCATATGTAACCTGAAGCATATGTGACCTGAAGTGTATATAACCTGAGGTACCACTGTATATACCATATGTGATATTACAAGACGGTGGATCTTATGGCATAGTAGTAGCTGTGGTAAGCAGCAACTGTTACAAAGTAGGGTTATATGGACAAGCACAATATTGATTGGGTTACAGGTGTTGGCAATCCACAGAGTACAGAATATCTTTCTTAAATTGACCCACATGGCACAGCAAAAATAAAACAAACTTAATCCATGTTCAGATGATATACATGTAAACATTAATACAAACTCATACATTAATGTACACAATGTTTGGATTCAAAGTAATAGCAATCCATAGATGCACAATTAAGTACTCAAAATAATCCACAGAGGTCAAACAAACTTAGTCCATGCTCAGGTGTTCTACATGTAAACATTAGTACAAATTCACAAAAAACAGCTTCATCAAGCACCTCCTGTTCCTGAACTGTGCCAGCTGGCCATCACTGGGAACAGCTGATAAGAATGGGGCTTTTCCGCAGTGGTTGCCTGAGTTTTGATTTTGATTTTGATTCGCTCCCTGTCCCAATCGTTTTGAACGCCCAGCCTTCCGGACTTCTCATCTTAGCAGAGGAACTATGCGTCTGCCTGAGCTATGGCGAACCTGGTTATTGTGATGAAATGGCGTCCGCTGCTAATGATTGCTGCCATGGTCTCGGCACCATCGCCTCTCTCTGACATCTCTCTCATCTGAACTGAGCGCGCTGACTGACAGCTCGCACTGGTCACAGGGACACGGCACCAAACAGACGCCTCCGAGTCCATGCCCCCACCCTGTCGATGCCAGGACATTGCTTGCAAGACACGTGAAACTGCTGAGGATCCAGTACTGAACTTTCACAAAAGTGAGACTTCCTTGGTGGTCTAATTAAAAGCAGATTTTTGTAGTAGTGCATCATTCTGGAGTAGCAGTTGAATAATGACAACGTCTTGTGGAAGCAAGGGTGGGGGAGGGAAACAACCCTGAAAAAACAGCAACAATAACACCACGAACGGTAACGTATCTTTGGGAAGCATGGGGTAATATATACATGCAGTTGCTTTTTGGTTTTCAGTCACATTTTTAAAAATAATTTTGGACATTTTGTTGCCGGGGGGGGGGGGGGATGCAGCAAATAGACCTTCATTACCATGCCAGGAATCTAAGACTTTAATATTCAGTACTCTGTACCATTCAGATGTCAGTTTCTTCTCCTCAAAATATGCATCCTAAAGCCTGGTTTGCCTTAGCTCCGTCCTAAGAGATCTCTTATACTATAGTCCTAAGCATTTGTGTCTTAGATATTTTCCTGCAAAGTTGGAGTACAGTGGTACCTCGGGTTGCATATTCTTCAGGTTACAGACGCTTCAGGTTACAGACTCCGCTAACCCAGAAATAGTACCTCGGGTTAAGAACTTTGCTTCAGGATGAGAACAGAAATCGTGCAGCGTCGGCGCAGCGTCAGCGGGAGGCCCCATTAGCTAAAGTGGTCTTCAGGTTAAGAACAGTTTCAGGTTAAGAACGGACCTCCGGAACGAATTAAGTACTTAACCCGAGGTACCACTGTAATATTATAGTGGGTGTGTCTATGTATTTCTTCTGGATGCCAACCTCTTAGGGGGGAAAAGGAAGGTATGTTGTGAATAAATATGCATTGCTTGAAAACTATAGATTTTGCTTGTGAAGAATTTTGCAAGGAAAAAAATTCAGAGCAAAAGTTGAGTACACAGATACACACAACGGATGTACATACATGCACACAAATCATTTCTTCTTTCGTACTTTTTTTTTTTTTTGCTGAGGATGCCTGACTGACTTTGTAGATTCACCGCAGCAGGTTTATAAATGATTAATGAAAGGAAGGAGGAGAAAAATGTTCAATGGAGATAAAAAATCAACAACAGAGCACTGCAAGATCACTGGGACAAAGCTATTTGTCTCCTGCTATAGATGAAAATATTATCAGTCAAGACTCAGGTAAATAAGTGATATAGTGTAAAACATCTTGTAACTTTTATACAGAGCGAAACAAATCGATGGCACAACAGTTCGTTGTTATTTTGGGAATTGTGCACCATCAAATGCAGTAAAATTATATGGGAAAAGAATCAGCTATTCAGGAAGAAAAAATTGGCAGCCCAACACAATGAAAACGATTCCCTAGTACTATAAATCATATAGTGGGACACACACACACACACACACACACACACACACTTTTAAGTAACATTTACAGTTTCTTAAATGGCTTTTTTTTCTCTCTCTCTTTCATGTAATTCTCAAAATTTGTTTCCTTCTCCCAAATAATGACGCATCATGGCAGTTTCATCTAAACTTTTGCTTATAATCAAGTTCTCAACAAAAACAGTGAAGAGGTGGAAGTCTTGAAGTGAAATCATACTTTCCTTGGTACCATCAGGTATAGTTTAAGACAAAACTGATCCATTTTCTTCCATTTAAAACAAAATTGATCAATTTTTCTTCAGTCACATAAAACAGTGTGGTATGGATTGTTTAGAATTCATTATTCCGAATACAAGTAAGGGAAAAGCCAGAATCTCACCCCTTAGCACCCATTGGCTCTATCTACAATTTGTGCTTGGCATAATGTCGAGCCACCTAAGGTTCTAACCATTATGATTTGTATTTATTTTTGTCTAAGACAATAATTATTGACCCCCTGAAGAAGACTAAATGTCAAATAGCGTCTGGCCATTATGTTTTTAGGAGCACTCAATTTTAATTGGCCTTGGCTTATAACTGATAAAGAAGAGCTTTCCTTATATACTGATTTATAGTGTTCATTTAATATAATGGAATATTAAAAATCTGTGTTCTTAATTGAATATCTTACCCTAACTCCATTCTTTATAAGTTTCAAATTCATCTAATGAACCCCATCAATGGACGTTGTGGGAGGATGTGCAGCCAAAATCACAAATACACTATTGCTAGACAGTCATAAACTAGGGTAATGGCACCATGGAGTTTCAGAACCTGTATGGAGGGGA